CATAAAAATTTCATAATTTATCTCCTTCATTTGCTTGTCCAAAATGGGCCTCCATTCTAGGTGTTTCTAGGGGTATTTTGGTCATTTTAGTTAAATTTTTTAATTTTATTTATTTTCCATTTTTGGATCTTCCTACATTTCTTATAATTCATAAAAATATTTTAGATATTCTAAAATGTTAAATAAAATTTTTATTTCCTTTTTATACTACTCAATTATTTACCAATTGAACTTGTTTCGGTAAATTTTACTAAGGAAAAATTCTAGTTCTCAAGTCTTTTTGTACTACTTACTTTTAATTAAATGAGGTTAACATACTACAAAATTATTTATGAAATGAGAAAAATTTGGGGTGTTACATGAGCAAGCATATTCTAACTTGAGCAAGATCAATCTTACTTGAGCGAGAAAAAAAGATAAGGATTTTTCCAGTATTTTTCTGATATTTTTGCTTGGGCGAGAGGTATTCTCATCTGAGCAAGAATAGGTCCAGAGAGCTCCCAAAATTTTTCTGGAAGGCTGCCTAGGTGAGCCCTTTTCTCACTTGGGCAAGCCATACTCTCGCCTAGGCGAGAGGATAGTTGGGGCAATATTCGTAACACCCTACATTTCTTTATCTTGATTATATTAAGTTTATAATTCAAATTTCTTAATTCAATTGTTTGAGCCTAAAAGATGTGAAAGTAAGTAAGAACCAGAATTTAATTATAAAATTAACTATGAATAAAAAAGCAAATAATACACCACACATCTTGGTTGAACTTATAGGAGAGGAACCTAGGACATATGGGTTCTCTCATTCAATCCTTTATGTTATTTTTGTTTAACTCTAAATTTGATTTCCTTGTGATCACTAATCATTCATACAAATACTATTAATACCCAATGATCATGCAATACTAATATTCTTTTCTCTAAATTAATATCCCTAATGATCATGAAGGACATCAATTAAAGAAAGCATAAAACACCTATGAACATGTTAATTTAATAACAACTGGAAGAGAAAAATTGGTTTGGTCCACCTAATCCTTGTCTTGTTTTATCCTATACATCCATTAATAAATCGAGGTATGGTCGCCTAATAATATAATTAATTAGGATTATAATTATGAGCAATAGGATAAAAACTAATCACAAACAGAAACCAAATATAGATTCAAACATCAAAATCACATAAATTCATGAACAATAGTTCTCATAGCCTGATATATTCATATTTGACCTTTATTTTATTTGGTTTTACACTAATTTATATATTAATTGTGTAGTTTGGTATAAAGAGGCCGCAAGTGGATTTTAGGCGCATTCTGGGCCTAAATTGATGGAAGATTAGAGCTTCACTGCAGTCAGCACGCCCAGACTCATTTAATAAGCATGGGGTGCTTCGAGCCCATGGACAGTCATCCTTATGGTCGTGCACGGCCGTGCTCGTCTGCGGAAAACCCAATTATGAAGAGTCTTTAGGATTTTCACACCCTATTAAAAGGGAGACCTCAGGCATCATAAAAGGAGACCGTTTTACATATTGGCTTCTACTATTTAATACGCTCTTTCACCTTATCTCTCTTCTAGGGGATCTTTGGCATATTCTTGGCGAGACTTGGAGCTTCGAGCGACCGTACTTGAAGACTGGGTGTAACACCCTGAATTTTGTAATATAGTTTGATTATCAATATAAGTGTTTATGTGGACTTTCATGTGTTGTGTATTTATTATATATATATATATATATATATATATATATATGTATGGTGTGAATGGATTGGATTGATTGGATTGGAAAAGCAGGTTAAGGGTGTAAAACTCTAATATCACACTTTATAATATCGTAGTTTAGAAAACACCAAAATCTGGTAATATTTTTTTTTTCTTCATATAGTTTACAAGTATAGTTCTCTTTCTCTGAGAGAGAGTTAACACGCATATAAGTTTCTCATCTTATCATTCCAAAATTCAATTTCAATAGCATAATGATATAAAATCAGCACAACTCAACATCTGAAAATACCTCAATAGATTAAGCATAAGTGTGCAGAAACGTCAAGTACTTAAATGAACAAAACGGTCAACAATCCAAATACAACATAACTTAAATAGACCAAACTTCCTAAAAGCAGTTCCCCTAAAATATAAGTAAATAAACAGACATCAATCATAAGGAGAGTAATCCTCAATGGTATTGGACTCCTTAGAAGATGTAGGGGAAGCGGAGCTAGAGGAAGCAGCAGCAACAGAGTCTCCACTATTCTCCTCCATCCGTTTAGCAATGCGAGAAGATGAACGGGTATCAGCAATGGGTAACAAAGTAGAGGGGTATGCAGGATGCATGTAGGATGGCATAGTAGTGTACCTAATGGAGGATTCCACCATATGGACATCCCTCTCCATTGGCACTAGTGGAGAAGTAGGGTGCATAAAAGGAAATGGCACAGGTGTGGGAAAATAGGAGTACAGGGGTCAATAGACATGGAGTCGGGGGAAGCAGAAAAGGCAGGGTAAGGTAACTGAGTGTCAGTAGGAGGAACAGAAAAGACAATCTCAATAGGGGTGTCGGCAGCATACTAGGTGATCCACGAACCCCCACTCTCCAATCCATGAATCACTCGAGCGAATTCGCAGAAGATACTTTGCTGGGCCGCAGAGTCGAACACCCATATATCCTCCTCAGAAGGAAGGATCCACACCTTCACCTTGTCCCTGGCCATCTATATAAATAAAAGAAGAACAATACAAGACAACACAAACAAGGGGTGAGTTCTCTAAAAACAAACATCAATCAATAGCCATACCCCAAGAAAGGCGACATCACAATCACAATTCAATCCAACAATCAACATTCAGCATCATTGAACATTCAATAATATAGTAGAGTGATAAATATATTCATAATCATTGCCAATTTCACAAGTACTCAATCATCCCTAATAGTCACATGATGCATGAATGCAGGTTTCGATCTCACCCATATAGTCACTCAAGTGTCAATAACATGCAAATTGTAACGCCCCGACTTTTTGTAATATTAATTATTGTATTTATATAAACCTAAATGCATATATGTGTGTGTGTTGACTTACTTGATAATGATGTTTATGTGTATTGAGTATATGAATGTGTGTATTGTGTGTATGCATGACTGGTTAGGGCTGAAATAGGCTAAGTGCCTAAGTGCAGGGAGTAAGTCTGGGTTGTTCTCGCTGCAGTGAGAGAATTCTCGTTGTAGCGAGAAGGCCCTGCGAGGAAGGACCAGAACTGTCGCCTTCTCGCTGTAGCAACAGAGCGACAGTTTGGGGTGCATTTATGGGTGCAGTCTCACTGTAGCAAGATGGTCTCGCTATAGCGAGATTCTGCAGAAACCAGAGTGCAATTTTGTCTGAGATTTTTGCTGTAGAGATAGAAGGCGTCGCTGCAGTGAGAGGTGTCTCGCTGCAGTGAGAATATCTCACTGTAACAAGAGTGTCACGACCAGAAAGGATTTAAAGGGGTTAGGGTTTGGGGAGAGTTATTTCTCCCTCTCCCTTCGAAATCCCTTGGATCCTCTCATACCCAAAGCCCTATTCCACCAATTAATTGCCTCCAAAGCCGTTTGGGAGCTTGATTGAAGGTTGAATCCGCCTGGAGAATGCTTGGAGGTGAGTTTTAATAGTTCGGGTTTCATTTCTCATCCCTTTTCTCTGTTTCTGGGTTTCCTTGGATTCTCATGGAGTTCTTCCATGTGTTTTAGGCTGAAATCTGTGTAGGGAGCACGTCCGTGGTTGAATTCGAGTGTGGGATTTCGATCCAAGGTAAGGGGGGACTCTACCTTATCTCAATGTATTGAAATTCTTGTGTGTTTGATGGAAATTGATATGCAATGTGATGTGTGATAGAACAATTGGACCCCGTGAAGGTGATTGTGTGTGATGGAATGTCATTGATTGGTGAATTAATGACATTGTGAATAAATGTGGACTATGTGTCGTGTAATGTGAAATGAATGTGGGCCTAGTGTCGTGTATTTGAGTGCCATATGGGCTGTGTGCCGTGTGTAAGCATGACTATTGCATGCGTGAATGAAATATGTGTGAATGGGCATGTTAGCGCCGTTGTAATGTGCTATGAATGGTTCAGCGATACACTGGAGATGTGGGAGATGAGGACGGTAGAAATACCTTGAGGAAGAGGGAGTGGTGGTAACACCGACTGCGAAACAGGTGCACCACAGGCCACACACTCTCTTCCTGACTAGACCTCTGACTACTATCTCTGCTGAGCGACCCGTGACTGCCCACGTGGTATCCATGAGCCGGGGGTAACCGACGATCATTCATAGTGGAAATCTGTGATCACAGTGCCACAGTGAGTGTGGCTAGCGTGCATATGCATGGATTTATGTATTGTACTTATGAATGTGAAATGCTGCTGATGCTGTGAGTGTATCGGTGTTAAATTGACATGATCTGTGTGATAATGCTGCTTGTGATTGTGTTTGTTTAATGTATTGGAAATGTTTTATAGGTGAGACTCTACGTTGATTGTGTGTTTTTAGGCAGTGTAGAGTACTCATCCTTACATTCATTTTTTAGGTAATCAAGACGATCAGCACCAGACTCAGTGAAGGGATGGATGGACTGCTATAGGACATAGCTTTTATTTTGAAATTGTTGTAAATGAACTAGTTATGTAGCAGTCATTTGATATTAATTTGTAACCCTTCCCTTGTTTCGAAGTATTTTATAAAAAATTGGTTATTCTAATTTGCGAAATTATTATTAAATTGAAATTAAAATTAAGGTGTTACACAAATGATGCATGGGGATCCCATTCCTCTATGACTGGCGACTTGTCCAGCTTTTAGCATAGAGATAGATAGATAGATTCAAGTCGTATGGCAATTGGAGGACTCCATTCCCTACTCTGCATAGTGATATCATAGATAGAAATAGAAAAATAGCACATTAGCCAATGTGTAGTGCCATCCGGCACGTTCAGGAGTGGACCTCGACGACCATAGTGTTATGGAGTTCACGTCAGGTTTGGCTAAGGTCTTGCAAGTGGGTCACAACCCGGCTATAGGGAGCTCAGCTGGCATGTACCACTTAGGTCGGATGTTCCCCCTTTTGCCACCCCCAGAAGGTCTACTTTGGACCGAACTTCCAATACCTATAGTTGTGCCTCTGTTATGCCATTAAGTCATTTCACAAGATAATATAATGCATGAAGTAGCATTTTCAGTTTTCTTGTGATGGTTTTCTCAATTCATTTTGTTTAGCCGCTTGGAGGCTATTGCACAATAATAATAGAAGTCATCATGGACTTAGAATCATAGCATATAGCATAGAGCTAGAAGTCATCATAGACTTAGCAACATGGATAGATAATCTCCATGAGTCACATGGATCTCTCATCATAATTTCATAATCTCATGGTTTTATAAGTTTATACTCATGGATAATTTTAGTGCAGCATATAATATATTGGACCTTAGCTTAGGCAATTCATTCAAGCCTTTATAATTCTTTTCCTTTTTCTCACTTTACTCTTCTTCTTTCATATCTCAAGTCTAATCTCTCTTTCAATTTAGTACAATCTCATTCCTTAACTCAAGCAATCTCATCAATTAAATTCATCCTAATCATTTTATTATTCTCATCAATCCCTAGCTCCTTCTTAAACCATAAATCACTCAATTCAACTCTTACCCTCTTGATTTCTTCCTTTCAGTTTTTCTCTCCATAAAAGAACAAATCATCAAACTTAATTCTTCTCTAAACCCTCAATTAACAAGTTGATTCACAATAATCCAAGTTGTTACCTCTCAGTTTTTCACTCTTTATTAGGGAAGTTTAATCAAACTTAGGTACTTTCTATAACATCAAGTGAATCAAATCAATTCTCAAACAATCTAAGTTCTTTCCTCTTAATTTCTCACATTTTTCTTATATGATCACTTGCTGATTTTTCAGTCTTAGTACTCAATCGCTCATGAGACAACTAGATCATAGCATTTCCAATCATCCTAATCATATTCATAGTCCATTTTCATCAAACTGCCCTCAAGGGCACTAGATCATCAAGATCATAATATTATATAATCACTTTTGGTACACATTATCATAATTCATCAAGTCTTTCATAGGTAGATGCAAATGATGCATGTGATGCTATCAAAGTAGGAATTCCATGGCATAAATCATTTTAAATAGCAAGCAATTTAAATTTTCAGCCATGCATCACATCAAGCTTCTTCACGATTTTCTAAGAGCAAATACCAAGGATGAATAGTATTTCATCTCACATTATTCACATTTTTCTATCAATTCACTCAAGTAATTTTCATAAATTTCCAACACCATATCATGGTAAAATCAAGACATGCACTTACTTTCATCCAAGGTCAATCATACAAGTTTACAAGCAACAATCAACCTTTCACACAAGCATAGTCTAGCACGGTTCAATTAAATCCAGCCAAGATAAGGCACTTTTCAATTTCATTTTAGCTTTCTTACACAAAACAAGGCATGCAAGGTGTATTTCAAACTTTTATAGTGTTTTATATATCCAAAATTGAGGCTGTTCACAAGAATTAGCCTTTCCTTTCGTGTAATTTCTTTTTAAAATTCACACTAACCTTTTCCAAATAGTTTCAAGACTTCCAAATACAAAAGTTCAAGCCTTTCTCTTAAAAATTAAAATTGTCCAGCACTATAATTCATTTGTTCACCAAGGTTCAAAGCATGCAAAATAGAAAAACTAACATGCAATGGCATAACTTCATCATCCAAGTGCAGGCCTTTTATTTTCAGCAAGGGATCATGCTTAAAAGAACAAAATCGAGGCAATTCAAGGTGGTTTTAACACTCAACCACTTAATTTTTCCAAAAATCTTGAAAGTAACTTGTTTCAAGAATGATTAAACTTTAGAACAAGGAATCCGACACATGCAAAGGTAAGAAATCAACATGCAACACTTTGTCTTACCATCCAAATACAAGATTTTTGGTTAGAAATGGAGATAAAGCTAAACAAATGGAAAAACCAAAACAAACAAGAGTTGGAATCTACATGCAAGTGAAGGAATTTGTCATACAAGTCCACGATTCCATGATTCCAAAGGTGGATTATTAATTTGGACAAGATATTCAACAAAACAAGTACAAAACCGAGACATGCACAAGGAGGAATCAATATGCAAGTGATAAAATTTCAAGCTTTTTGATGAATCCACACTTTATAGATATTTTGTCTCGTTTTTCATAGAGTTTTAATAGGAAAAATAGACTTAGAGATTGTAAATAGCATAAAAACTTCATTTAGGTCAAATATTATAGCTTTCTTAATTTTTATCTTATTTCCACTAATTTTTGTGAATATATTTTGCAATTTTGATCATTTGAATAATTGTACAGGAAATTCTAGACAAATTTTATGAATTTCTGGCTCTATGGGAAAATGTGAACTGAGAGTAATCATTCTCAGGTACCATAGTGATCACTCCAGGGAGCTGATTCCAAGGGATAGGCCAGAGTAACCACTTTCAAAAGCAGCAGTGATCACTCTAGAGCTAAAAAGAACCACCAGGCCTACGCGTAATCACTCTCGTGAGTGATAGTGATCACTCCAGAAAGCTCCAGGATGAAGTACCTGCGTGTAATCACTTTCAAAAGTGATAGTGATTACTCCAGAAAGCTCCAGGCTGAAGAACTTTGCTCGTAAACACTTTCAGAAGCGAAAGTGATCACTCCAATGAAGCCTAAACCAGAACACTCTGCGCGTGTTCACTCTCATAAGTGAGAGTAACTACGCGCGTATAGAGTGACCACTATTATACACAAGAGTGATCACTTCAGAAAGGGAAAAGCCTGAGGAATGATATGCGTGATCACTCTTATTTACAAGAGTGATCACTATGAGGGCGCATCAGACTTAGTATATATAGATTTTTAGAAATTAGGGTACAAATAATTTCATAATTTTAGATTCTTTTGCCATTTTGGGAGCATTTTGCAGAGCTTAGGATCTTTGGGTGACAGTCAAGGCCAATCTTAGGGTTTGATTTACAATTTCTCTTCACTTTCCTTTAATTCTTGCATTGATGTCATTGAATTCCTTTTGCTTCCATCTTAAATTTATAAGACTCATCCTCATGGAGGGCTAAACTTTCTTGTAATCCTTAGTGAGTTCAGGGATTCTTGAATTCCTAGGTATGAATGTCAATATAATTCCCTTTCCTTCATGAATTTATATTTCCCAACACTTTGAATTGAATTAATGTTTGAATGAGGGGGACATTGCTTAATTAACCCTAATTTGTTTTAACGAAATTCTTAACTTGGTTTGCTTAATCCTAAGTTAATTCTAAGGTTGCGTAATCTTGGGGAAAAGTGTTGGAGCCCATGTAATTTGCTTAAATTTGTATGGTGTTTTAAGGTTAATTCTCGCTTGTTGAGTTACCCTAATTCAGAGGAAGAGGAAAAGTATTGAATCTTGAGAGGAATAGGGATAGAATTACATGAACAAACTAAGGATTGCTTTATCTCATTGATTGAACTCATTAATTTCATCACTTGCCTTTACATTAAAATTAGAATCACACAAACCCCCCTTTTAATTGTTTTTAAGTTGACTGTCTATAACATGTTTAGTGCATATTTCCAATCAAAGTCATCAGAGACAACCTAGGCTTGCATCCTAGATACTACAATTTTTTTTGCATACTTTGATGAAGGTTGACGACAAATCATTATGCAAAACAAAAATTTTGTTCATCTCTTTTTAAGGAATCACTTCATCCAAGCATAAAATCGAAAGTTTAGAAGTAAAAAAAGTGAAAAACCAAGTAGAAACTAGACATACGTGGTAGAATCATCTTATCCAAAAACATTAAAGGTAAAAACGCAACCTTCCAAAGATTTTTCACAAGTTCAACCAAAGGAAAGCAAGGTAAGGATGAAAGGTGAGAACTCCCCTTTGCCTTTGGGTTTTTTCAGTGTGAAATGGAAGTGAAGATGGTTGGAAGTGGTAGATCCCCAAGGAATGCTTGCTGGATCGAGAAAACAGCACCAAGGATCTTCAAGTTCCTCCTCCAAAGTGAGTTCCTTCAACACGAAATTTGGAGAAAAAGTGGAGGAAGATGTTGGTAAGGTAAAGGTGGGGTGTTTGTATGGTTTGGATGAGGGATTTGTGAGGTTTGCGGGGCTGGAGCCTCTCGTTTCCTTTGAGAGAGTTTGAGAGAGTGAGAGAGTTAGAGAGAATAAGAAATGAGAGAGCAAAGTGGAGAGAAGAGAGAGCAAAATTGAGAGAATGAGAGAATGAGGGTCTCAGTTTTTGGCTTCCAAAATGGAAAATAGAAAAAGTGAATCAATTTATATGGGGTCTAAACTTTGAGTGGCCAAATGCCACTATGCCTTTCACGGTTTGGCTTAATTGGTAAGGTCTCCAAGTCCAAAACTGCACAAGGCTTAATTGAGGCAAATTTGAAGTGAAATTGGTACAAATGGTGCAAGAAAGAGTGTCACGGTTTTTCAAGTGGGAATAGTGAATTTTAGGGAGACTTGTAAACAAAGTTTACACATTTTAGCAAGTTAAATGCATGGAATGGTGTAGGGCTGCATGCACACGATTTTGGTGGAGCAACTCCCAAACATCGGCACAAAATTCCAAAGACAAGATTTTGGGCAGCATTTGCATTTATTTTGATTGGCCAGAAAAGAATGTGACATGACTAGGTTGACATGTGGACGAGACATTTGATATGGTGCTAAATTCAAGAAAAGGTAATTGATTAAGGCAATCATGGTGTCGGCATTTTGGAAGACAAGAAAAGAATGTTCCAAAATGATTACGTCTGCAAATTGGGAGATAAAATCTTCTTGCATGAAATTCTAGTGGCCGATACTAGATTTTAGAAGATTCAGGTAATTACGATGTTTGCAAATTGGGAGACAAGATCATGTTGCATGAAAATCTAGTGGCCGATACTAGATTTGAAAATCTTCAAAGTAATGATTACTAGATTTTGTGAGATTTTGTGAAATAATTTTGACGGCTAGGAAATGATTAAAAATCTAATGCAATGATTACTAAATCTTTGCAATGATTACAAAATCTCACATTTTTCAAGGCAGATACTT